TCTGTAACTACTGTTGAGGAGAGGTAAAGCAAAACCAGGCTCTTATAGAACACTTTCAACACAAGACAAGTAGTTCTCTGTTTCTGTCAGTTTTACAGTAAGGCCATTCATACTCAGAACCAAGAAGATAACATGGCACGCTTATTTAATCGTCTTTTATTTTGTTCCGTCATTAAATGGTGTTAGAATTGGGAATTAGGACTCTCTTTTCTGGCCAAAAGAAAACACAAGTGGCTTGTTGACTGCAAGACTGACTCTCACACAGACTTCCAGAGTAATATAAAATCCTGGCCATGCATCCCCAGAAAGGAGCTGGTGGCATATGCCGCAGCTTCCTCTCCTGAATGCAGGCTCCATGCCCAGCAGGACATCATAAATCATTTGTGATTTATGATGAGCCCAGTCGTGTGCTACAGCCTACTAGTTAGTTGGCTGGTGTCTGCCCTCTACACACTATGACCTCCCTTCTTCGGAGCACACAGGGGCTTTTTCAGTTGAGCCATAGGACAGAGAGCTGAGGATTTTCCCTTTGGCTGACTCAGCCAAGAAGTAGAGGAGGAAGAAGACAGAAGACTCTTTTTCTTAGAGTGTTGCCATAAGCCTCACTTGCTTTCTCCTAGATTGGAGATGGGGAAGGGGCAGAAAACGGGACCATTATGATCATATTAGCCTATTTTCTTTTATTAAGTTATTCAACAAATACACACAGTTTCTGAGCACCAACAACCTGGAAGGCACTGTTGGATACAGCAGTAAACAAAAGAGAGGATTGGTTCTCATCGAGGCTACCCTTACACAAAGTAGTAGGTCCTATGTCAGGAGGTGATGACATATTTTGCAGGGCAAGAAGATAGATGAAGACAGGAAGGGGAACAAGCTCTTCTACACCCAGTGTACAGGGAAGGGACTTCTAATAAGGTAACCTTTGAGCAGAGACTTGAAGGAAGTGATGGAGTAATCCATGTGGGTTCTGGGGAAGTCATATCCCAGAGAGAGACAGAGGCCATCATGCAGGTGCGTGTCTCAGGTGAGAAGCAGCCAGGGGCAGAGGGGCTGGAGCAGAGTGGCCAGGTGAGAGCGGTAAGGAGAGGAGTCAGATGGGGGAGGACCAGCCTCAGGGTCATCAAGAGACCATGCCAAGGAACTGAGATATCAAAAGTGACACGGACAGCTATTGGAAGTTTTGGAGGTTTATCCTTTTCAAATACTTGAAAAAACAGTATAAGAACGAAGTCAGGAAAATGAGGGACCGTGCCTCCTTCACGTCTTGAAGAAAGTGTGCTGTTGTAATCAGGAATGAACTATCAGAACTTTAATTCATCAAGTGCAGGGAGTGAGACAGAAATCATGGTTTTACTTGATCTTGGTGTAAAAATCACGCGTGGTTTTTAAATTGGGATAAAAGTGAATAACCATGAGTCATTTACTCACCCGGTGAGGAAGGATACTTTTCCGGGGCAGACCTGGCCTCTGCATCCAGCTGTCTGTGCTCTGCTAAGTCTCCTGCCTGGCAGTATTCTGGTTTTGCTGCAGCTGTGAGTGAGGCCTCCAACACGATTGCTTTTCTTGCACAGATTCGTGTGAATTTCAGTCATAGAGCAGCTGTGGGGTACCTAGGGTCAGATTTTAGGAGGCTTCAGTAACGTGCCTAGCTCTCAGTGAACACGGAGCTAACTCAGGCTTTTTTCCCTCAGTCTAGTCTAGAGTTATGGGGAACGTGGGTTCGGGTAAGGAGCAGAATTACAGGAAGTGCGACTTCAGCACCTATGAGAAATACCTTCCTGAAAATGAGGGTGGTGGGTAGCTGCGGTGGGCTCTGCCATAGTGACCATCCTGCCTCTAAATGTTTGCAGGCAGGTGAGCACATCTCAGGAATGTTCCTGAAATGACTCTTGCTTTGTGTGGCATGTTGGACTGGAATGGCCTCTGAGATTCATTCCAATGCAAAACCCTTCTGAGCCTATGAAAAAATGTCCCGTGAATGTGCTCTGCAAACATACAGACACTATATAAACAGGAGGCAAATATTTTAAAAGATGAAGAGTGAAGCACTTGTTCTTTGGGGAGAGCAGCGGTTGGAACTTTGTGCCCCAACAACATACCTTCCATGCTTAGTCGCCTGCAGTTTGTTCTCGTTGGCCACATTTACAGTTATCTGTCTTATGTGTTAAAAATGCGCTCAGCCAAAGACCAAACAAATAGCCAAAGGCATTTTCCTATCAGGGCCCATGTGTAGGAGGTAGAGCCAAAGAACAAAGCTGTCAGTTTTGAGTCTTGGCAAGAAACCAAGCTGCTGCTTCAAAGCTCCAGGATTTACAAGGAAGATCAGAGGAGGGATTTTTAGCTGAGATTAAGTTAGAATTAAAGCAACAGAAAACTTAAAACTCAAATGAAAGCATCCTCTGGGATCCAAGATGGAAAAGCAGAAGCAAAAAACGGGTTATGTTCTGGGTTCTCGGGTCACTTTTTCATGCAAGAATGAAAGCTTTTGAAGGTGCCCAAAGTGGAGATTACAGAAAGGCCTTGATTAGTGATACAGGATCACACAACATCTGAGCTGGATGAGTCATTCTGTAAGCATCACTGAATCTCATCTCTCAATTTAAAGATAAGAGATCAGAAGCCCTGGAACTTGAAGAGACTGCCCAATGTCACATAAGCTGTTGTGGAAGTTCTGTACTAGAATCCAGAGCTCCTGACAACCGTTTTTGTGTTATTGGCCACTTTACAGAAGCAGCAGATCGAAAGGTCTGTTTTCCTAAAGAGCAAGGGGCAGACAGCCGCAGTGACTAAATACTGACTGAATCGGCAGAACATTTGCTCTCCCAGAATGTGGCCCGATCCCCGGGCCCAGTGGCACTTGCTCTTGCGGTTGCCTCCTGCATCCTCACACTCTGCGCGGCACAGCCTGGAAGCTGTGGGCCCACCCCCAGGTGTGGAGGCTGAAACGGCTGCTTTCAGAGGGCCTGCCTCCCCCTAGAGCCCCAGTCAAGCGTGAATGGATTCGCTCATTCCTGGGGAGACTGCGGCGGTCAGGGTCCCTCTAAGCTGACAATGCTCCATGCCAGCTTTGTCCCACAGTGTCCTTGCGGGAGTTGTTGTTTGGCTTCCTGTTCCGATAGGAGTTCTCTCCTCTTTGACAAAAGCCTGAACAAATCGAAGGTGTATTTAAATAACAGCATTCTTTTTACATAAAAGAATTCCCATGAAAGAACAGCTCCTGCCGGCCCCCCGCACCCAGTTAACTTTGTCCATTGAGATCAGCAGCTTTTAAGGGAGCGGTCACTGCTTCTGGGAGGAGAGTGGAGAGCGGGAGTGGGTGGTAATCTAAGGAAGAGGAAAGGGTGCTGCGTGTGTCTCCATTTGAACCAATAAAATGTTGTTATTCTTTTGACTGTTCATTTACTCATTTTCTTGTTTGTTTACATTCTGAGTCTATCCAAAAAAAAAAAAAATGTTGGATAAAAATGTGACAAAACTTAGAACAAACAGCACATATTCTATAAATAAAATAAAAATGAAGTCAGGTGACTGAGGAGGGAGAAACAGACCTCACCCATGAATTGTCGTGTGAAATCTGTGTTATGTATTAAGTTTTACTCGGACCTTTCTGGCAACTAGGATTAAAAAGAAATACACAATTCCTAGTAACCAGAGAGGGCAAAAAAATTCCAGTTTCTCTAAGAGAGACTGAGTGTTGCTATCCTAGGGCTCATGGCATTACGACACGCTCATTGCTCACCGAGGACTTCCGTGCTCCACACAGAGCTCCCGGCCCAAGAACACCCCGCGCTCTCGCTCACTCTCTTCCAAGTGTCCTTGCCTCAGGCCACCTGGTACAGCCCCCAAGAAACATGTTCTTAGTGTTATCATGAGCTCTGTTTGTGTCAGGGGGTGGCTCGGGGTAATGGGGTTTAATTTGGGTCTCTAAATTATGTTGTCCAGGGTGTTTCTAAGATTTTCAAGTTATGAGGGGGGGAATGGAAATTATAGGGAGAGTCAGAATCTCGTCCATTCTCCACCACTGTACCTTTTCTTTTCCCCCAAAGAGCCGTAAGCCCCTTCTCTGGCCCTTCGTCGCTCTGTCAGATGCTTTTTTCAATAGGGCATCCAGGACGGGGAGGGGGCAAGGAGAGTTCTGCAGAATACACTTTGGGGAATGTTGGCTCAAAGGATTAGGTGGCATGACTACGTATTAATTTCACACACTTTCCTGGGGCCTGAAAGTAGGAAATGGAGTTTGCAGTTACACAGACATATGGGGTCCAGGAACCAACATTATCCACATATAAGGCAACTGAGGTCCCACTCGGAGCTCCTAAGCGCTATTCTGAAGTTGTAACTAGTATTTAGATTCTTCCAGAAGAAGTAGAAGCGGTGTTGATTCTCATGTTGATTTCACATGAATCAGCTCCATCCTTTTAAGACTTGAGATATGTCAGAGGATGTGTCTAGAGAATACTCTAGAATTTTTTAGTATGGCAAGGAAAAGAGTTACAGAAATCAGATGTGTTGGACTTTTGTAATAGACGGTATGAGAGAGAAAACACTGGAAAATAGTCCCTTCTCTCTGGGTTACCTGAATATCTACTGAAAGTTTGTTTGTGTGTAATGTAAGCATACATATCCTCTACATACATTGCACATTGATAGAAACCTGTTTTAGAATGCCTTATGACTAAAGAAAGGAATATTTCCAAGTTGGAAGTAGCCTTTGTGCTGCTCTGTAGTTGACGTGAAATAATTTGACTGGATTCTTGGCTGAACATCATCAATTGAAAGACGAGGTGCAGTGGTCGGGTTTCAGATCATGGGCTACAGTCGTTGTCCTTCTCCTAATTACGTTGACTCCAGTCATCGTGTTTTTCTAGGCAACTAGGAAAACTGGAGTTTGAGTCTTCAAGTGAACAGAATGAATATGCTCAATTCTAATTGGAATGTTTTTCATAATTATTTTAAACAATGACTTGATTCTTACCTGTGCTTATTCTTTTTAAAAGTATTAGAAAGGAAGATATCCACAAGACAAAGTAGACAGGAGCTGATCAGAAGGGGAGTTCTTAAGGAATTGCCTGATCAAGGTGAGGAAATTAACCGTGCATTTAAAATAATTTAATCCTTCATTCTTTGGTCTTTCGTTTTCTTTTGAGACTTAAGATGATCATGGTCTTCGGGAGATAAAGCAGTGAGTATCTAACTCCAAGAATCCTGCTTTAATTCAGAATGCCTTTGTGGTCTTCTAGAGAAGAAATTAAATGACCCTTTTGGTGAATCCTTCACCATATGTCACTCTAAAACCATCTACAAAGGTACACTGTAGCTTAGAGACACAGATAAGATACAAACACTTACGTGACTCCTCTGTTCTTGAGCTTCAATTTTTCTATACAAGTTAATGTGATTGAATGAACACAAAGCTTTAGTTTGGCCCATGCCTTTGGTTTCCTACGTCCACCAGTAAAAGAAAAGAGAGCCATCTCTTGGCCTTTATAATGCACTCGAATGTACAGTCCATAAGGCATGAATAGGCCAATTAAATTAATCTGCTTTACACGATCTCTCAAGTAATTTTCCCAGGATCGTTCTTTTCATTTCTTTGATTCTAGTTGTCTCTTACCTTTTCACTAACTGTTATTATTTCCAAGTATTTTTTCCCTACCTCTAATCTTCCTCTCTTTTTTCTCTAACCTCCCGAAGGGGAATCTTGCTCAAAAGATAAAGATGAAATAGAAACTGAGACAGACCCTTAAAAGAAGACAGCAAAATGGTTTATTTCTCCAAATAAATAGTACTGAATCATTTTCATTGCTCCCACTACTATTGCAACTAAAGAAATTTTTTGTTGCAACATTGTGGCTTTACCTCATGCCTTCTCCCCAGACATTTACTGGGGTAAATTATTATTATTGTACTTTTATGAGAACAAATGAAATACTGTTATTGGAATTGGAATAATAGTACTTCTCTTTTCCTGATATATGTTCTCCGCAAAGAACTTAACATCTTTTGGCATCCACTGTATATAAATCAAATGACATGATTTTTTCCAACATCTGAATAATTCCAGAATGGAGCCGGGAAATGCTTTACTGTTTTACTCCTACTTCAGAGAAAATAGGGAAGTCTGAAGTAAATCCTACAATTTTCCTCGAGCCCTCACAATTTGAGGCAATTTCTAACCTGTTCTACTTTTCTCACACCATTTGATGAATGAATTTTATGTCTTCCGTAATTTTCTATTACCTTGAAGCTATTTATTTCCTGACTGGAACTTTTAAAAATAAAAAAATGCACATCCCTAACCTTTTTTTCTTTGGAGGTCAGCTTACAGTATCAAATTTGTCTCCTCTCTAATCTCCGGAGGCAATAGAGAAATTAAAAATCCACCGAAAGCCGAATACTGCACTGTCACCCCTATGGGGGGTGGGTCAGTGCCCTTGTCTGGTTTCTTTTACTTGGAAATATTATAAAGAAGGGAAAAAATAAAGAAATTTATGATCGAAACTGTTGCTGAGTATTAGAGAGATTAAAGGCCTCCTTTTTATCCAATTTAAAATCGTAGCTAGGAAAGAGTTTACTTTTTCTAAAAACAGGTGGCACTTGGTTCTTATCTTCTGTTCTTTACTTCTGTCTTTTCCTTTAGCTTTCACACAAGGGCACAGAGATGTTTTTGCCTGCCTGTAGCCTCCTTTCCTTTTCTTTGATGGTGTACTTTTTAACCTCCTCACGAGTCACTCACCTTTCATTCGCACATGATTTTCTCCTTGTCTCTATTCCTGTGTTAACTACATCCCAGATATACCTGTTTACCAGAAAGAGAGAAAGCCTTCAAACATTCTCAGGCTCCTAATTTAACTACTGACTTCTGTGTGTGCTTGATCTCTTGATTTACTGTCATCTCACGACTCTTCTGAGTTTTCTCTTTTCTTTGCATACACATCTCCTGTTTAGACTTGACGTGGGCCTCTCTCACTTTAACCAGCATCTTCTTTTTCCTTCCTTTGCTGAACTTACATTTTACTCACAAACTTAAACTACATCAAGTACTTGTTTTAATTCTAAAATAATACACAAAACTAAAAAGCCTCAATCACACAACAATTAATTATTAGGAACTTCAGTTCTCTGTTTTTTTCTTGAATTCCCTGTTTATTACAAAAACGTTTCCTTTTTCTGTAGTTACTTTCATATGCACTAGCTTTATTTCGTACCTCGAAGTATCTTTTCACATGGCCAACTGTTTCTATCGTGGGATAATCCGGTTTCTTGTGCCTCAACTATTTAATTTTCTCTTTAACTTATTTGCTCTGAATTTAGAGATCAGTTATTTAACTTACTGAAGAATTTTAATATGATAATGGTTAAAAGAGAATTAAATTGTCATTAACATGGCTTTAACATTTTTATTACCAACTAAAGTCATAGAAAACAAAGATAAATTTATATTTGGATACCTAAAAACTGAAGATCTTTGTGTAGAGAAGTGGTTTTCTCTTTTGTTTGGAATTTTCCATTCTTCCATTAGTTTTTATTTTTTCTGAGTCTAATGTTCAGACATTATAGTGTGTCTCCCCTCACTCTTTTGTATGGCAAATTTTGGGGGGGATTCAATAATAAGAACTAAGAATCTTTTGGTTTCTTTTTGGTTTCACTTAAACTCTTTAAAAAGTATTACCTTAATTTTCTTGAAATAGTTAAGATTTACTTACAATGCCATTGCCTTCAGTTGGCTGTTTTAGTTTTATTCCAGAATCCGATTATAGGTGCTTGGAAGTTACATGACTAAGCAACAACTGCTTTTGCATTTTCAGCATGATATAATTGTAAAATATTCATTTTACTTATTAAAATGTCATGCTTGTTTTTGTCAGGAAGGCCAGTGGATTTTATTGTTGAACCAAAGCCATTCAATCATATTTAATGAAAATTTGAAAGATGGTCTCTGTTTTATAATCGTTGCCAAAATAAGATTACTCAAAATTGCATTAGATGTCTAATTATGCATTTCAAGTTTGCTAAGTGAAAACTTCAATTCATTAATTTTTGTTTTACAGTGGTAGCAAAGCCTCTTAACATTTTCCAGATATGAATTAGAGCTAATCTTTTCAAGCATTTTGGTTGTTGAAATAAGAGTTTCTGCAAAATCTTTCACCTTAGAAACTCCTATGAGAGAATTATGAAAGTTCAGGAGTTAAAATTAGTTATTTCTGATTTAGATAACATTTTACTTTCAGTTGTGATTTTTTAAAAATTCCTCTGTAATTACTCTGTGCCACATTGTTTTCCCTAATGTTTTCAAATTACTTTTAGACCAACTTAAAGACTCTTCGATCAGTTACGTATAATAATTACCTGAGTGCATTTTCGTATTTCCATAAATAAGAAAACAGAAATACAAGTTAGCCTTGCTACCATCTTTCCCTGAATGTAGAGTAGCAGTTATATTACTGTGTAAAATTAACATAGCATAGAGGTAATATTTTGGAGATGATGGTGCTTAGAAACTCTCATAATCTCCCGCTGATCGTTTGTATGTGTAATTACATTTCATGTTCTTTTGTGTATTTGCATTCGCCTTGTGTTTTGGTGTTTGTTAAAATGTTTATTCCATTTTCCAGGTTACTCCTTTTACGGGTCAGTTTCTGAATGAAAGAGAGACTCCTAAGTACTGACTTCAACAAAATCTAAGCACAAGAAGAGAGGGACTCCGCTGCTCAGGGACATTTTATATTTGTAATCAGGCTCATTCTTCCTACTGTCTTGAAACAGCACCTATCTGGCCCCTCCATAGCTCCTTTCCCCAAGACTCAGGATTTTTTAGCTCTTTCGTTTGAATGAATTATTTAGTAAAACATGGTGGAACAGTACAGGATGTATTTGATTCCTAGAGCCTGAAACATGAACCTGATCTCTAGAGTCCTAGTAACTGGAAAACTGGGTTTTAAGAAAGCCATCAAATTAGACATCTAGGTGTTTATTTCCCTATTTTAGATGGAGATGTAACAGTTAACTTTGAAAATTCAAACGGGCACATGATACCCATCGGAGAGGAACCTACCCGAGAGGAAAATGTAGTAAAATCTGAAGAAGGTAATGGCTCTGTAGCTGGAAAAGCACCACTTCTGGAGGAAAAGGCAGAAGATAAGAAAGGTAAAATCAAGAGAAACCCCTTATTCTTCTACTTCAATACAGCTCAGTATCAAGATTCAGGTCTTAGGTTCCAAATGGTGACCTTAAGACCAGTAGAGAGGTCATTTGCAAACACAGAGGAGAGAAATGATAACTAGCAAAGAGAAATTGGATGATCTTTTTTTTTTCAGGTAGATAGCATCCATTTTATAAGCACATCATTTAATTTTTTATTAAGGAGGGCTAATTAATGGTAAGAATCAGAAAGGATGGCCTCTTCAATCACTGGAGATATCTGGAAATTTATCTTTTCCTCAGGAGCTTTCTCTCAGTATCTTCTTTAAAAAAAAAAAAATGCCAGCAGATAGAACATCTTTCTCTGCTGATTAGAAGTGGCTGCTGTGAGCAGCTAGGCATGGACGAATATCAAATAAGGTGGCTTTTTAAGCCCAGCACTGTCTCTTCAGCAGGGGGAGCTTAGCTGGTGGCATCCACACACCCAAAATTGAGGGTTCGAGTTTAGGTTCTAGATATTTGTGAGAAAGACCCAGAAAGAGTTCCCAGAGATGCTGGGCATTTGGGTTGCTGGACTGGCCATAGTCTGCTCCATGATTTGTTTGTGCAACTGGAAATTTCAAAATATGCCAGAGGCAATTATGCCATTCCCTGAAGGCTTCCTTAGAGACCAAGGTTTCTAGAGTGAATAATAAGCTATGGTAGATTGCATAACTGCAAAATACATGTTAATCAGGGACCACCAGGACATTTATAAGTTCATGGGCACTGACTGATTACATCTTCATACCACGGCTGTCACGGTGTAAGAACCTTCAAGCCTCATACTTCTGCAAACCTGAACTGAAACTCCCATAAAGTAAGGCTTTGTTGGTAGATTCTTTCCATGCAGCATAGAAATGAATCCTCAGGAACTAAGCTATTTCCTCTTCCATAATGTATGCCTCTGTGTTGGATGGCAAAAATTTGTCAAACCGTTTGGGTTCTGTAGTCATTTTGAGAGCCCTTAGAAACTGCTGGAAGCAGAATTCCCTTCCTCTGTTCTTGATCCAAATCCTTCAAAGAGAAAAGGAACAAAAAGCATTTTACAGACATTGTAACTTAAAATCATCTACTCTGGAAGTCCATAACCCCTTATTATTGACATGTAAATTAGCCTTTAAAATTTTTAGAAGCCTCTGTTAATAATTTCTTGGAAGTTTATTACTTGGCTTTATTTAATATTAAGTAGGCTTTACTTAGTCTTGTTCCATTGAAGGACTCTGGCTAAGCTTATGAATACTGATTACAAGAAATTAACTCATATTTTTATGATAATATGCCTGGAACATAAATAGAAACACGCCTAAATGGATTTTAAGAGGAATCAGTTGAAAGTATTAATGCAAGTAGTGATTTCTTTATTTTTATTTTTATTTTTTTAGTCCAACTGTCCTGTCTCACCAAACTGTTACATTTCAAATCCATCTGTGGTTTGTGTCTTGTACAGCCTTTTCACATTCAAGAATCGTATCCTTCATTACGTAACAATGCCATCTCTAGTACTTGTCTGGTCCGTGTGGGGTATCAGTCAGTGAACTGGCCAGACTTCAGAGGAAGCATGTCTCTTATCAACCTAATAAAAAGTCGCTGACAGTTTTATGTTAATTAAACCAGCAGGTCTCGATGTTCTGAAAAGATGATGGCAGGCCTCATAGGCCCATGGATATTTGAGAGATATTTTTGTTTTCTTATTCTTTATTTAGAATTAGTACATTCAGTTCTTTTTGGTCAAATAAGGTCCAAGATAGCATCTTGCTTGGCTGCTCTGCACACGAGGAAATGGAAATGCTCCACATGCTGCCACACGGCTAATTAGACAGAGTCGCCTCCCTCTCGCTGTGTGATCCGTGCGCCTGCCTGAGCCACACCGAGAGTGAGGGGAAGCGTCCGATATGGAAGCCACTTCGGGAGAGTAAGATGCATGTCACTCATAACTCACGTCACGTAGTATTACGTTAAATAGAAAATATCTTAGGAACAAAGGTAACTATTCATTTCTCTGGAAAGAGACCATTTAATTCTAAAAAAAAAAAAACGCCCTAAGATTCACTTTTACCTCTGCTCCTCTTCTGATCTCACTCCTTGTTTGAGCTCACTGCCGTGCAAATCCACTGCCCCATGATTTTAATTCACCCTTTATCTTGGGATGTAGCGCTGTTTCCTTTTACATTAAATAAATGTATCCAGGAGCATTATTTCATCTAGTAATTGGTTATAGTTGCGGAACTACATCACATGCCTTTAAAATCCCAGATGCTTTATCTCTTTTTAAGACAGTGTGTCAGTATTTTAGTATTTGAAACATCAGTGTCATAGAAAACAAAACAAATGGCCAGTGGCCTGCACACTGCTCTTAGGCCTGCACACTGCTCTTAGGCCCCACCTAAGATACGTGAGTGTTGCTGCAGCTCCCGAAGGCACCTGCCTCTGGGTACAGTGGTCTTCGGCCTCCTCCGACAGCCCTGGAGACTTTTCCCTTAAGGCCTTCAGGGCTCCTTGTTTCTTTTTAGTCTATCTCAGCAGCTGCCCTTAAACATAGAAGAGGCAGAAAAGCTGACCATCAATCTGTTACATATAGCTTGGCATAAAAGATGAGAAGGCTGAAAATTATGTGATTTTATTTCTACTGAGTTCTTGTTGAAGACATTCAACGAAGTGACTTAATATATTTGTTCCACACATAATAATGAAGGTCTGCCATAAGTAAGACTCTACGGAGGGCCAGGAAGAGTGGTGAATGAGAAATGGCCTTTGCCATCAAGGAATTCATGGCCTATGAGGAGACCAGCATGCAAACAGGCAATTGCAATACCAGATGCCAAGTACTCTGAAAGGCCTGAGTGCAGCAGGCCAGGGGAGCTGGCAGCGGAGACCAGAACTGGTTTGTAGAGGAAGATATTTCCAAACTGTGATTTGCAGGAGACGAGAAGGAGGCAATCAGTTGAAGGAGAAGGATCGGGGCAGAAGTGCATTCTAGGCAAAATGAAGATGCATGCAGTTCTCAGGTTTGCTCACAGTGTTATTGAACTAAGCTCTTCATGTGATGGAAGGAACCAGACCTAGAAATATAGTAAACAGCTACCATACAGACTGTCGTGTGAAATGCTGTTGTTATCAAGCCAGAGTGCATAGGCAGCCCTTTCTTAGCCTCCTCTTGAAAAGATAATACTCATAGAATTCATCCGTTTATGTCACGTCTTCAGATCATAATAAAAAATGTAACTTGACTGAATTCATTACCTCCCAGATAAATGTGTGTTGTTAATAACTAACTGCCAATTAGTCACATTCATTGAATAGACATGTTTAGAGCATATGCTTGATGGGATATCAAAGTTCAGGCAAAGGGAGTTTATAATTTAGTCAGAAAAGCATACTGTGTGCGATTCCCTTAGGAATCGCCACAGAGTAAACATAAACACTGGCCATGTGGCAAACATACACCGACAATTGGTAAGAATTCTCAGAGAAAGGAGGTGTGGAGCATGCTTCCCCAGGAGCTGGCCGAGAGTTTGCGTGCAGTGTGTCCATTTTCAACCCAGTAGGGACTGTCATTCCCAAATGTCAACCATCTCCTGCTTCACATACCCAGAAGCTAGATTCTTTGGGGGGTATAACTGTAGAATTTAAAACCTTAGGCAGAAAGAAAAAAAGATCCCTCCGTGATATGCCATAAAGTCAGAGGATAAAATAAGTGAGGATTTATAGTGTGAATAAAGATAGCAGGTTTTATAGTTCAGCTTGACTGGCCTTCACCATAGACACTATCACTAGGCTTGATCTCTGTGCATGGTATTATGCTAGGAGCTAATCTTACAGAGAATAGTGTAAAGAAGTATTTAAAGAATAGGCTTCTGCCCTGTGTCAGTGTCTCTATATGTTGTGTGTTAAAATGTTTTAGATGTGCCTTAACTTGTATTGTTTTCAACCCTAACTGACTTTCGTGATTAAGTGGCCTTCTGGTTCAGACCAGGAAGGTTAGGAGAGTCACTACTTAGTTGGGGAGACAGATGTATAAACAGAAAGGCAAACATAGAAAGTAGCCTCTGATAAATGTTGAATCAGTAGCTACAGTTAAGATTAGATGCAGGAGAGGTCAACTTGGGCTCCAGTGACTGGGGTGGATTTCGTGGCTGACGGAGAATAAAAGAAAAGTTTTACTGATTACCTACCATAATTTAAATCATTTTATGGTGGTTATATATGTGAATTTATGGGGATATAGAAAAAAGGAGGGTGAAGTCCTCACTTCACACTAACTAGCATGAGAAATGAAATAAAAGAAATAATAAAATGTGATGCGTTCTAATATTAAAACCCTTTCTTCATTCAATAATTCAATAACGGGAGGCTATATCCAGTGAAGGCTTAGTGTGGTCTTAACACTGTCTTATTTTTTATTTTTTAATTGTGCTTCATTTTTAAAGAAATGCTGCTTAGCTCTTTGGACCAGAACTATATTTTAATTTATTTTAATTACAATCAGCCAGTGTTAGAATAAATACAGATATAACTATACAAATGAACATTCAACATCCCCACCGTCAGTAACGAGAGACTGATTCTGTTTCTCTTCCAGTTACTTTAAACCTTGTGAGAGATTTCTGTACTTAGGTGTGAATTTTTTAAAAACTGAATTTTAACCTTTGTCTTTTCAGAATTTTTTTACATTACAAATTTACATTACAAAACAAGTTTGATTTTCGAGGGGATTCTCCGCCCTCTGTACCTATCATCATGACACTGTCTGAGAAGATCAGAGGAAGTTATTGCAAAACAGGAAGTTGCCCTACTGCACTGGGAGAGCTTGAGAAAATTTTAATAGTAGAAAAGAGTTTATTCTCCAGTGCATTGTGTTTCCTGTAAAAGATTCTACAGTCTTCCTTAGCTTAAAAAATGACTGATTTTTGACCACAATGGGACAAAGCACAAATCTCTTCCAGATTAACGAGTTCGAATTCTCAGAGAAAGTCCGCTGGTAGAGGGGACAAAGGTAACTGTGAGTCCACAGTCCTTGCTGCACGGTCAGTCCTTACCCCATGGAGGTGTGTGTAATACGCTCATCTGCCACTCTTGGGGGCCTTTCGGTTTTGTTTAATTCAATTTAGCACTCAAGTCCTTGTCATCATTTAGCAACCACCAGTTCAAGTCTGGTGTCAGCCCCTGACGGTGGACATTTACATTCATCGTCACTATAACTTCATCAAAGTAACTTGTGCAACCCTGTTGGATCACAGGAGTGTTCAGTGCAGCCAGACAACACACCCATGTGGCTTTCAGCCTTTGTTTTTACCCCAAACTTTGTTCTTTCTCTGGTGCAGACTCCACTCTGGTTCCCAAGGGCCAAGCAGCCGCTTGTTTGTATCACTGTCACTGTGTGTCTCGCTCCTTCTGTTGATATAGTGTGTGTCTGTATCAGTCTGCTTCTGTTCACTTTCTCATTTGTAGAGAACACTGAAAACCACTCTGAAACACCGGCAGCTCCTGCTCCACCTCCTTCAACTCTTCCTAAGCCTAAACCCAAACCTAAACCCAAAAAATCACCTGTGCTTCCAAAAGGGGCTGCTGCTGGGGCCAGCCCCAAGGGTGATGAAGTGCCTCCTATTAAAAAAAATACCAGGGCTCCTGGTAAGCAAGCCCCCGTCCCTCCACCCAAGCCAGCAAGCCGAAACACGACCCGAGAGGCTGGTGAGTATGCCCCCGGGGGATTGAGTCTAGGGGTGCTCTACTTTGGGGTGGGGCTAATTGCTTTTTCTAGGAATGATGTCTGGTGTCAGAATGTAACACCAGTGGAATCAGCTTTGACACGGAGAATGCCTAGGAGATTCTTTTGTTGGTACCTCTAAGGAAAGTCACCGAGTTGATTAGTTGACCTCATTCGTGTGGGGTGAAGAGACCTCTTTCATCCTGAGTATTCGCTGTCTGCACAAGGACCAGTAGAAGGAAAAGGAGTAGGGTGCCTGATGAGTGCCGATGATCTGATGTGACATTATCGAGACATCAACTGGCCTTCTGCCTTTTTAAGTCTATGGGTGGCTTTTGGGCTTTGGTTTTCTTTCAAAATGTCTTAAGTTTTCGCATAAGAATATGACACTTGTATCCTTGGCATCTGCCCACATACCTACTCAAAAAGGCACCTGTCACCTGCTTCAGCTCCACCCCACCACTCTGTATCCAATCACTACTGTTTCAGCAGAGTTGAAAGTTACATACTCATTGCTCACCTCACCCCCCACAAACAGTAAAAGAAGACTTCAATTTGTTATAAGGAAAAGCAGCCTAGTGGTTGGTTACAAGTCACTATTGCAAATCACCAGGGGGATGTTTTGGTGACTTACAATAACTGTAACTAATGTATATCCAATTTTCCTTTCAACTCAGATATGCTTAACCCAAGTAGAGCTTTCATTCTTCTAGTGAAATGGAATGAAGAAGCCTACCATGTCATCCAGCTTTTAAAGGACATTAGTCAGAACATACATGCTGGGTGGCTTCTATGCATAAAAATTCTCCTGTCTTATAACAAACCTTATCTTCCCTAAAATCAGCAGCAACTTTCTCATAGTTGCCTTGGTATTGATCTTTTTCATACCCGAAATGCTCAAATTTAGAAAATGGCTTTGTGGACGGTGTGATAGACCTCCGAATGTAAATAGATGTCTCTCTCCCTGTGTTTCTCTCTTCTGCCTTTGACCTTGAGTGTCTGGGTCTCTTCTAATAAGGTCTAAAGTGAAATGTCTCAGAATGCTGTGCAAAAAGTGCCTTTGGGCCATTTCCTCAGAGACCAGCTGCCCTCAACGTGTCATCATCTATTCTCGGTGGTGTCTGTATTTTTTCCCAAACTGCCTCTCACACCCTAGGATCAGTGCTTGAAGTGAGGCAGGCTTGGATCCACTTCTTAAAAGCCCCAAACTGTCACCCTGTCCTTTGGAATTAAGACGCGGCCTTGCACACTTTCCCACTTCCTCATGCCCCACATGGTAGCGGCTCACTGTCGACTCTGTCTTGCTTCTCTCACAAGAAAGCTGATTAAGCCAGGGCAGGGGACAGCTTCCGTGAAAGATTTTTGAGTGATTTCCAGAGATTTGAAGATTTATATATAGACTCATGATGTTCCTAAAAGAATAGTACAAGCCTGTTATCCATCGTATTGAAAGAGGCCCAACCAGTCCACAGTGTATATAAGAATGTTGCTACCACAGAGAAACAGGGACTGCATTGTAGTTTACCGACAAGCTTGTCATACCAGGATCCTCTCATCAGACGCTGATAATGCTCCATCGGAATCCAACTGATATTCCTTTTGTAACCATTTAGAACTGTCTGCATGGTAACGTTTCATTTGAATAATGGTGACCTTCTGGAGAAGTTACTTCAAATGCAGCTCTTGATTTTCAGTCAGATGTTTTAAGTTCTTTAAAAAAGCTATTCGTTTAGATTCTTCCTCTATTACTTAATGAGTATAGACTTCCAGATAACCAGATATCTATTTGGCACGTTCAGCTGATTTACCAGTGAAGTAAGGCAAAATCTATAATGTTTCTCTCTCATACTGTATTATGTACTGCATGAGTACTTAACTGAGAAGACGTGGCATCTCTTTAGTCATGGTCTTAATTCAAGATGATTCAACCTACATGGTTGATTTCAGCAAAGTCCCATCATTTTAAAAGGTACTTAAAAACTATAATAACATGGCTTGAATTCACATTCCAGGCTTTGAAAAAACTATCTTTTCCCTAAAGCCATGCTAAAGCTTACCATGCTGTCAAAATAGAATTTTCTTTTAAAAAAAATTATTAGAACTGATATGTGCAAGGGATTCTGTTCAGTTTACCTAAGAAAGTAATTGGACATGTTTAGACATAAAATTCTTAGCATTTTTGTTGTGAAAAAATAAATTTCGAATGGACTTAGATTGTAAGAATATGCTTAATAAGTGTGTCTTATAAAACAAGTGAAGATTGTTAACTTTTAAAAAATAGTGTTAACGCCAGCTGGCCAGCCACAGGTAACATGTTTCTAGAACTAGAGTTTATAAAGATAAAACTATTTAAAAAAAAAAAAAAAAAGTAGTATTAAGAGGCCCAGACTTGGGGTAGGGGGATTGTAGTTATTGTGTATATCTAAAGTAATAAAGCCCTAAGCCATAGAGACTTCTTTTAAGCCTGAATATTGTCATGAAATGAGACTGGCTTCTTGTTGTATATCGAAGTTAGTGAAATCTAACATCTCATTGTCTATTCCTCATTTCTTCTTCATCTCTTGACCCCCAAAATTGACGTCAATAAAGTCATAACCGTAGGTGACTTACAATAATGTCTGCACGCATTGTAGATTGGCTTCATCATACTAACAAGATATTTTCTAATAGCTCTGTGGAAGCTAGTTAAACCCCTCATGAAAAAGAAGAGACGGACAGCATTATAACAGAAGCCGCAGCTAGGAGGAACTTTTAGGGCATGCAGATCATTTAACAAAAGTGTACTCTCATGGGAGTGCACAGGTGTCTCCTCTGATGATCTATAGAAAAGGAGACCTAGCTTTTTCTTTTCCTGAGAATGATTTGGCTGAAGGCAGCCCTACCCAGAAACATGCAAATAGACCACTGCCGTCTTCTGTAAAAGACCCTCCAGGAACACGAGCAGCTGTCAGAAGATCTGAGAA